TTTTCTTAATTGACTGTTTGTATGAGCGCGCATTCTGTTTGTGTGGGCCCTTTTATAAATTACTGCTATTGGCTACGTAGAAATAACGTTAAACAATTATGGAACTAAAAGGACTGAAATGCACCTATTTCTATCAGAAATTATTTAATACATGACTTAATTTTTTTGTTCAACATTTTAGTACTCGTGATTGGGACGTCAGGTAGAATTCTTTACCCTTTCTTATATACTTGTTGAGTATATTGTAGCATGTTTGCTTTATTTCAGGTTACAAAGAGCTACTGAAAACCTTCAGGCATATCTCAATCAACATAATGCGTAAGTTCACGAATTGTTTACTTTGGCACGTTCAAAATACAATAATTCATGGATCACAAGACTGGGTAGTATGTTAGGGATCTGGAGCAATTGAATTTCATATGTAAGACCCTCAACAATTTTATTATATGGCGCTCAACGATTACCTGCGGTCAGGACAGTGGTCGGAGTATGTTTAAGTGATAGATTGGAGTTCCACGTACATATTTTAATAGATCTTAGTGACGCTGACTGCATAATTTTGAAAGGTTTAATATTGATACCCTATTCCATGAGGTTTTAACAGTGGAACATCCGATAGGGTCTATCTGGCTTACATCCGGAGGCCCGCATTTAAGAGGAAGTGGATGAGGCTAAGGAGAGATCAATTTGAAATAACAAAAACTTTAATTTTTTATCATTCCCACGTAAGCGAGCTAAAGAAATAGAAAAAAAGCATTACTGTGTCGTGTTTAGTAAATTCTATCTCAAAAATTATTTAAGAAGCACGGCAAATAAAGCACTTATGTCTTCTCTAATCAAATTTAGATGTTCGGCCACAAGTTGCGATTCTATGACCAGCACCACGTAAGATTTGTCCTATTTGTGAGCTTTATTTTTGCTTAAAATAAGAATATTATTGCATATGATGACAGAGCTAAATGATATATGAATTATGAGTAGTCGGAGGTTTCGGAACAGGCAAGTTAAATGGCAAAAATATTCAAAATAATCTTGGTAACAGATACCACGTATTTACTGCACCCTAATACCGAAAATTGATTTGTGATACACTTTCGATATTTATAAGCTCATTAAAAGCACGAATTTTTCTCTGTGAGCTTAGTTCCTTGAGATCGCGGGAAATTTGGAAGAGTTCACAAGGAGTTAAGGTCAAAGGACCCTAACTAGATATTGCATTATCTTCCACACATAAACTCTGACGTTGATCTTTTAACTTCTGATTTAATCTTCTCAGTAGGGAGTAATTAAGTTCACTTGAGGCGGTGTCACTCGATTTTAGCAATTTAGTAATGAATTATTGTTTGTACGTCAAATCGAATAGATAAAGAAGCTTCCGGAGGCCCAACTCTGCATTGAGGCAGAGGATGGAAGTGGTGTTTTGTTTGGAGACAGCCACTGTTTTTCCCACAAGCCTTTTTACAACCGATCCAATTCGGCTTGACAAGTGAACCAATGCCCAGTTTTCTTGGCAATTTCTGTTCTGTTCAATTTTCTGATTCGCCTCAAGATTAGATATCCAGTTAATTATGGGCATGTCAGTGTCATCACTAATTCTCGCATGGTTAGGTGAGGATCTGATTGGTCCCAGGGCTTTCAATATGCCTTCATCACAACTTGTAGGTGGTCGTGTTTTTGGCACATCATTGCAATTCCTCTTGTCCAAGTTAAGCCTTTTAAGTGGAGAGTAACATTGGTGGAGCGTAAACACTGTAGCATAAATTTCAGTAATGGCTTTGATGGCCTTGTGGGTGTTTAAGCCCCAATGAAGGAAAAGCGATGTGCGCTGTCTGTCTGATGTGTTCACCACCTTTGTTTGGGGGTTTTAGCCTTATAAAATGAAAGGCATTTATTGGTCCTAAGGAATGTCAACTAATTTGTCTACTGAGAGCCAAGCTCACAATGTTATTTCCTTCACTGTATCTAGGCGCAATGTGAATTCAAACATGTGTTTGTGAAATGGGCGATTTCTAATTACTGCCCAAAAAATAAACTATGTAGTGGAGTGAATTCCCTGTTAATTCGAGGGCGTGAATATATCATAATTTTAATGAATCACAGTTATGTTCGTATTGATTTCTACGCTTGCGTCATGTGCCGACAACTGTTTTTTCCAAAGGTTCATGTCTTGGGAACCACTTTTCTCCACAATACATTATATCGAATAAATAGCGTCCTATGACCTAGGCAATTTTTAATAAAAAAAGGCCTATTTTTAATTGCAGAATGCCCTCAGGAAGCTACAATTACCCGACCTATACGTAGGCTTTTCCCGCCTTCAGTAATAATATAATTTTAATTATCTTTGCTTGACATGGAATTGTCATGCTTGCCTATTTTAGAGATGGGAGGACATATTCTCCCTACACGTAAGTGGATTTTGGTTTAAATAAGAACTCCTATATGTATATATGACTTAAGGCTACTTTATCGTTTATTGGTTCTCGAATTGGAGATAAAGTCTTCAAAACACACGGCTGGGAAGTCCGAGCTGGGAAATGGTAGACGAATTTCCTAATTTCAGAACAACTCTCAGTAGACGACTTTCCCAAAGATTCATTTAGTACTCAATTTAAAATGCAATTTGGGTATAGAGTATTTATCATTGTGAATTATTGTCAAATGATCTTAGTGGACTCTTTCAATTAAAAAGTGTAATTTTTGTACCACTGTGGGCAGTAGTGGTAACAATAGTGTTATCGAAACCATATCATTAATTTTTTTACCAATCAATACTCATTATAGGGGTCGCACGACAGATTACAACTCTTCGACCGATAAGTACAAACTTTGTTTAACATATACTCTTAAGACTTCAATATTTCCATTGTCTCAATACCCTTCCTTCTTTGTTTAGTAGAGATGAGACGTCTTTTTCATCGTACACGTAAGTACAGTCATTTACTTCCTTTATTCCTTTCACATACAAACCCCCCACCCTTTGTATGTAGAATTGCGTCTGAAATAATGTTGTCATAATGTTGTTTCTGCTAAATCTACCACGCCTGGGTTGACTACTTTATCGAGAACGTAGTTGGTTTGTTTGGCCAGACATTGTAAGCAAAAGAAAATGAGAGAACAGACAAAGTACCATTAAAATGAGAGGTCAATAGATGTCTTTTTAGTAGTTTATCAATGAAACTGAGGACATGTTTTGAACAAAGAGTAGGTAAACGGAAGACTAATCGATCTTATTGGTATATTTCACTGTGGATTTTCTAACACATCCAACCTGCACTATAGGAATATTCTATTTGAAATACCGAGCCTGTGCGAATTCCTCAAGCGTTGTAGAAGCGAGTTCATAATTATTTCAATTTCTTAAACCTTTCCTTTCAGACTAATTCAAAGGAGAAGAAACGAACGGAATATCTCAACTGATACGTTAACTTCAAGTATGACATATGCAGAGAGTTCTCCAACACAATAATTTCCCAGATCACTCAATCCTCTCCCAATTCATACCGCTTTCTGAGAAATAGCGGGCGGTACTAACCATCACTACTTATAAAAACATAAGTAGTTGAAAGAGTGAAAGAATAACGATTCATTTTCATTACTAAAATACAAAACATTGAAAGCAATGCCTTTGGGGCGTTAGTTCTGTGCTTAAAACGATAATATTAATATTAAGATAGTTTCAAGTAGTATTCGATTAAACTGTTCGTTAGTGTTAGGAGTTAGAAAGGCCGGAAAATAATTCAAAGCAATCATTAGATATGTGAAGAGAAGTGAAGTGAAGACAACTATTCAAAGTTATTCACCGAACACATAGAAGCGAGAAGTTATGCTGAGTGGAAGAAGCAAAGCAGCAAAAAAGGAAAAGAATGGACAAGACTATTGGCTTGCTCCCTCAACTTCTACATCTTCCTTGACAAGGTACTTGGTTTGTTGCAAAGGCAAATTCACATAAAGAGGGTCTCGTAGACGTTTAAGATCACTTTGTAATTGAGCTAAGGAATCTCGTAGATCATTGTACCGTTCAACGTCGAAACCTTGGGCCGCAGCTCCCTTGTAAAAGGTCTTTAGGTACTCACGGTCGAATACTTCCGGGAAAGTGTAATCCTAGGTACGAAATACGAAATTTTACAGCGTTAAGTGGTTCAGCAAGCTTGCAAATAGAGTTCAAACCAAGCAGAATAAATAAAGTTGGTTTATTTTATAAACGCGCGAGTGCATGATAGGGAGTTAGCCAATCAACTGTGTAATTAGATGAAAACTTTGAATAATGATTAATTAATTAGTGTGCACACGGGCAAAAAACCAAATGGGGCTAGATAACTCTACTATTATTGGATAAAAGCAGTTCCCTGTGCAGCAAAATAATTACCTGTCGGGTGACTACGAAGTAGGCGTACATAGCCATGGTAGTTCCATAACCGACGAAGTAAGTAACAGGCTCCATGATATCCCAAGAGTATTCCCACCATGTTAGACGTGCTAGAAGACCAAATTGGAGACCCATTGCACCTAAACCAAGCCACGTAACTCGACGCGTCCTCGCTGAAGCGGCTTGTGCCAATGATATACGCTTCTATGGAGAGAAAAAAAAGAAAAAATGTGAAGACTTAGCTGAAATTATGAAAGGCATATTTACTTATTTCTCTTGTTTGGGCACATGGTCTTGTAGCTATTCGTGATAAGGAAACATTCAAATACAAGAAGAGAAAGTTCCCTTAACAGCGGAAGTATTTAGGCAGTGGGAATGAGAGACATAGGATCAGATAGATCTTACTTCATTCAAGCTGCACTATTTGTTCAAATGGAAGTCTCAACCGTCTTCTTCATACTGGCAAGATTCTATGTAATTTCGCTACGCACTTCCATTTGGGTAAGGAAATTTTCCAGTTCTGATCCAGCTACCTAGAGGTCGGATAGTGACGCCAAATATTAAAACGAGATTTAGTCAAGATTTGCTCTCTCTGGGGACTTTTGTATGCAATTTCAAAGGTGTTACAAAGATTAATGCAGAAACAAATTGAATTACCTCTTCAAAGGGTTCCAGCTGAAGTTGAATATCGGCAATGCGTTTCTTGATCTCCCTTTCCTTCTCAGCCTGAACATCCTCAGCAGAGAACACTGTGTTAAGTCGACTGACCAGAGCCCGCACTTGTCCCAGTTCCTTGGGGCCCAAGTCTGATGGGATGCCTATTCATGAGAAAAGGGCATTCTGTAAATCAATGTCACGATAACACAGGCATTGATCTCCACCGTGTACTTTATAGGCGTTTAATTGATGGGAAGCATAAATTTGCAACTGACATGAGAGAAAGGGATAGAAGTACGTCATTCTTCCCCGTTATGAATACTAATCAGTTTCACCTGGAAGTTGGCAAGTTGAGGATAACTTCCCCACTGACGAAATTGCTATAAGTTAACACTAATGATAAAGTGAAACTATAATCATGGAAAAAGTATTAGGATAAGCAAGACTTGCAGAAAAAAACTTCTGTCACGATTGTTATTTCTGTCTTTAATGAAAATAATATGTAGACGCAAGCTACTATTGACACAATAAGTCTGTCAGGCATTTTGATAGTTATCATTAGCCCATCAGCTGACTTCGGGCTTCACAGAGGGGAGGAGGAACATCAAGGTGAGAAAAATTCGAGAGGGGAAGCAGAAGAGTGATTCACAGATGTAGAAGAGACATACACAAATGCAGAGAAAAAGTTAAGGTGAACACTATGGAAGTGGTCAAATATGGCATACAGTGAGGTCATGATAGTTAGAGGTCAGAAGTCAACTGTCAGTTTATAGACTTTTTTGCTGTATGAGTATACGCTGCCCAGGGTGCACCACATGGAGGTATGTGTATAGCACACCCCAAACTCTAGACAATTACTTCAGCTATATATCCCTCTTCAATTTTTTCACGCTATTGCAAAAGATAAAATGCAACGCCTTCTTGGTAGACAATAGATCAACTCTAAAGCACCCTCCAGCATTCACAATAGATCCGGCCGATTCCTCTTTATTAGGGGGTCGGAGGGAGGGGATCTGATTTATGAATTTAGCGCAAAAAAACATCATAAGTGTAAGAGGTTGAGTCATTAGTTGGCGAGCGCGCTGAATCCAGACCAGCTGGAGAGATGCTTAAGTGCGCGAAAGCAATTGGTAGTTGGGCACATGCCGAAAAGCTTACGTAAGTTTACGCACACAAAGTTGAGTAATGTGCCGTGTATGCACAACGTAGTGCGCACCAAAGTTCACGGATTAATTAAACCTTGCTATTTATTAATAAAATTAATCCTAAACTGTTAAATAAGTTACTATTTAGCCTTTTTATTGCGACAAGGGAAGTGCAGGGCGAAAATATGACCACAAGACTGACTCTGCGAGCAGCCAAAAGTGTACATGCCGTTCTACATCGAAATGCCCTCTATTTTGCCCGATGACAAAGCAGAAATTCCCTAAAAGAGAAGGCAGTATCTAAACACAAGGTGCAGGGGGGTGGCATACAAGACAGTGGACGACCGAATTGGAAAATAAGTCGATAAATAAGGGAACTGTAGTGGGCTTTAATTAGAGATGTTCAATGCCTTTACTTGCTAAGTAAAGGATACATTTCAATGCAGCACGATCATCATCTTAAGATCCAACTCTTAAATCCGTAAATGGTAGCTTGAGTTCATAATTGCTCGGTATTGAATGGGCAGTAAGTTAAGAATAGAAGGTTAAAATAGAACGAGCAAACACTCACTGCATTCCACCAAATATGGCAATTGAGGAATCAAGTGTCATAACTGACAGTAGAGCTAAGAAGAACGTGAGAACGTAAACAGGTGGCAAATTAACGCAAGTTAAGCACCGTATGAAATCACCTTTACTTGCATTTTAATTTTGAAAACATTTTGTAAAGCGATACGACCATTTTCTTATTGGCAGTAAACACCTAGTATAATTACGTCTACTCTTTGAGAGCTTTAAAAAGAGGAGATTTATTAGCCGCGATTAATTTACAGCGAGCTCTTTATAAAGCTCATTATCACATTCTTACCTCTAGTATTATTGATAATTTAAAATTTAACAAGCGACTGGAAATTTTTTTGACAGGTAGTTAATTAATTAAAAGACGGAAGTTGAGGCACAGATTCCCCGCTGACCATTATAAGACATAACTTCATAGGCCTACCTTCAAGCCAACCTTTGTGGAAACAATTTCAACTCACTCTAGTGAATCAAACTAATTCAGTGGACATATTTATCAGCTGCTGCTGCTGCTGCTCAACCGTTGGCAGTTGTCATTTCTTAAGTGAATTTCTCCACTCCACTTAAATGGGCAGATTATTTTGAAGAATGCAGTGAAATAAAATGAATGTTTGTTTTGATATTCACTTGCAACTACCGTTATAATTAGGAAGATATCGGTTTCTAATCAAGAGCATACGTTGAGGAAGCACTTCAAAAAAAGACGATATTTCAAGATCCAACTAACTCCTTATTCTTCCGCAAGGACAGACGCATACGTGACTAGAGAAAAAGAGATTAGAATATCACCTCTTGTAAGATCACTGTTGTCAATGATAAAAGACAGCATCAAATATTTCTGCTACCATAAGCTGAATCCGTAATAATTCTAAGAAGGGAATTTATACCTCGAGAAATAGACGTCTCTTGCGTGCTGAAACCTTATTGGTTAACCAGGCAGCCAATCAAATCTATATTTCCATATAACCAAACATACACTTTCAAGGAAAGGAAAATACTATCGTTTGAGCAAAATATTGTTATTCTTTACGATCTCAGCAATTAAGGCCCCAGTATACATTAGTGAGCAGACTATGGTTATACACATGGATTTTTTGCATACTGGATAATAATGGATACATTTTATTCCAAAAATAGGGCTCCATACTTACATTATTAAACAACATGACCTCGGAAATAAATATCTATAGAATGAAGATCAAAATGTGACAATAGGGACAAATGGACTGAGAGAAATGCGTGAAACTCAGCTTCTCAGAGATAGAACATAGTATTACTGTTTGCTACCAAGTAGATTTCCATCAATCTAAAGCTTCCAAAATCAGGATCATTAAGTGATCATTAGTGAATGGTCACAGTATTGGGTGATTAGAACGGAAGGTATTTGAAAAAAAAAATTTTCCAGCAGCTTCAAATGAGAAAAGTTATTTGAAGTTTTATCATAGGCGTTATTAGGAATATGACCAATATGGGGACGAGAAGAAACAGTGAGGAAGGATTGCAATGAAGGCCAAATATTTTTTCAGTCATTTGATTATGTGTTCGCCTGCGTTTGCTGGAAAACGAAAGTCGATTGGGTTCAAATCAAGTTACAGTGAAACATTTTACTACATTAAAAGTAAGCAGAGGCCGATTCGAACACAACAGTGACTCAATAAAACAAAGAAGCATTCAGCTAAAACCAACAAACAAAGGTGGAGAACATATCAAACAGACAGCGCACACCGCCTTTCCTTCATTGGGGCTTAAACACCCACAAGGCCATCAAAGCCATTACTGAAATTTATGCTACAGTGTTTACGCTCCACCAATGTTACTCTCCACTTAAAAGGCTTAACTTGGACAAGAGGAATTGCAATGATGTGCCAAAAACACGACCACCTACAAGTTGTGATGAAGGCATATTGAAAGCCCTGGGACCAATCAGATCCTCACCTAACCATGGGTGAATTAGTGATGACACTGACTTGTCCACAATTAACTGGATATCTAATCTTGAGGCGAATCAGAAAATTGAACAGAACAGAAGTTGTCAAGACAACAGGGCACTGGTTCACTTGTCAATCCGAATTGGGTCGATTGCGAAAAGGATTGGGGGGAAAACACTGGCTATCTCCAAACCAAACATCCATTTCATCCTAGGCCTCATGGCAGGGTTGGACCTCCGAAAACTTCTTTATTTATTCGATTTGACGTACAAGCAATAATACATTACTAAATTGCTAAAATCGAGTGGCACCGCCTCAAGTGAACTTAATTGCTCCCTACTGAGAAGATTAAACCAGAAGTTAAAGGGTCAACATCAGAGTTTATGTGTGGGAGTTAATGCAATATCTAGTTAGGGCCCTTTGACCTTAACTCCTTGTGAACTCTTCCAAATTTCCCGCGATCTCAAGGAACTAAGCTCACAGAGAAAAATTCGTGCTTTTAATGAGCTTATAAATATCGAAAGTGTATCACAACCCAATTTTCGGCAATAGTGCAAGCTGGAACTTACCCAAATTTTCGACGCTGACGGGAAATCGCTTGTCATTGATTTCAATCACAAAGTCATTTGTGAGGAGCATCTCTATACTATTCGCCTTGGCAAATCGCAAACCATCTGAAAGTGAAGAAATAGGTGCAATGAAAGAGTAGAATTTTAATCAAACGTCATATTTTCTCCTTTATTCATGCTCAATAAATGAGTTCGATTTTGCTGTCTGATAGGTCATTGGGTGTTAAAGGTCAGCAAAACAATCAGGTGCCCACGCAGTTAAAAATTTAAATTTTTAATGGTGAAGTCAGACGCGCTAAAGTGGACTTACTTATAACCCAATACCCGACTCCAAGACCCAAAACGTGAATCAAATAGACATCATATAAATTACAAGGCAAGACAAGTGAGTGAAATAATGAAAATAGGTGTCAAGGAAGCTATAAATAGAGAGGTGATAGAGATTTATGAGATGCTACCAGAAAAGAAACACTCAGAATATTAAGAAGTGGAAACAGGTGCCATATCTTTGCAGTAATTAAAACTATGACAGTGACTCACTTTACTGGGAATTAGACCATCTACCATAGTGAGGTGATGGATGTGTGGTGTGCCATTAAGGATACCGTCGCAATTACTCATTTAAAAGTTGTGTCAAAGCAACGTAATTGAAGGCCTATTGTAAGGAAGCGTTTTCCATCATTCGTTCTGGGAGGAAACATTGTACGCAAAACCCTCATGATTCATTATTCCCGTCATTATTAATTGATCAAATTCCTGACTTTCTACATGCACGTTGACCGCTGTGTCATCTACTTACAAACTTGGGTGGTTTGGGCTGTCACTGGTTATGAAAGCGTTTCATTCGAAAAAAAACGGTCCATTCGCACCGAAAAATAACACGTAAAAGGTTATGCACAAAAAACATGAAGTTTGAAGATAGTAGTCAGTACAATTACTTCAAGCAAATAGGCGGCATCAGCATTGAGAAAATCGATATGATTAATACCTGAGTAATTACAGGGGAAAAAAGATTAGTAATTAGTAGATATGAGTCATGACAAAACATGGCCGAATTAGTAAATGAGGCCTAAATTGAAACGTGGAGTCAAGATGCAGACGCAAAGTAATATCATGATTAAAGGAGCAGCTTCAAATCGCTAACTCGTCACTAGAAACACGAATTATCCCCTTCGTGGAATCTAAAATCAAAATAAATAGAAATATGTACGGTGTACAATAGTGCCTCAAAATTGAAATGAAAAGCGCCGATCAAATGATAGACCTTAATCAGTTAAAGCGTAACTCGATTGCAGGGCTTTATCTATCTCTTTACCTTATGCAAGAATAAAGTTCCCTCCGTCGGAATAAAAATACACGATTCATTTTTGTCCAACTTACTCCAAATTAGGACATTTTTTCCGGTTCAGTCTGAGACAGACTGAAATTGTGCCACTTGGAGGAAATGGCAAGGCCAACCAGTCAGTCTCTAGATGATTGGTTGAGAATCATCCAATGTAAATGCTAAGATGTAGTTAGACCAATTTTAGGTGAGGGGCGAAATGTGGCAATAAACATGAAAGGTTAAAATAAGCTTACTATAACAAACACTGCTGCGCATAGTGACGTAGGCTAAGAGAAGGAAGGAATGAAGCTAAAATGTTTGCATGAGCTGATAGATTACAGAAAAAAGTAATAAACATGACTAGACTACAGTCTGCATGTATTTCGAAGTGTTCCCATAACCCAAAAATACAAATTGTTCGTAAAATAATAACTTGATGAGCAATTAACAGAACTGTAGAATTATTGTTCAAGTAATACCAGCAGCGTTAAGAAGTTGAAATTTCCTTGCTTAGAATAATTAAAATATAAGAACAACAAATATGAGATGCGAGATGTAAAGGCTTTGAAACTACTGCTGAGAAGCCAGCTTTGGAGGAATAAAGAGCTCTCGTTTTGACAAACATTGTGCATAAGTTCCAAAAGCCCTTCAACCTAATTCTGAAGAGGCGGCAGTCACGTTTCCGCAGTAGCAACAAAAGCGGGCAGTTAATACAAATAAATTAATTGATTGGGTTAAGCTATCCATGTTAACCATCAGATTTAACTATGGAGGGAACGGCAGACAAAAAGGATATTATTTCCTTAATGGAACTATAGAATATGCTGGAGTTAAATGGGACAAAATATAACACTGTGAAATTGCTCTGAGTAATATAATGAAACGATTTGAACTATTATTAACTAATTACTTAAGATTTTTACATATAAATGGATAACAAAGAAAAAATAGAATAAATTAGAACAACATGGATTACAATGAGGCACACAGGATAAATTTGGGAACTCACCGTTGCCGAGAAAAGCCACACGATCGACACCCTTGTCCTCATTTTCAATAGCCTTCACTAAATCACCGACGGTATTAGACAATGGACGCAGAGAGAATATACAGGTTTCATCCCGTGAAGGCAATGGGATATGGAATCGTGGTAGACCGCCAGAAGTCAGGGTTACCGAAGCTTCTTTGTTTGAGATGGGGGATAAAGTTGAATTAAATTGACAAGGGATAATAAATGGTGGGGAAATAAAACATCTGGAGCGATACAACGGCTAGAGAAAAGAAGTGGTTCAGAGTATGCAATAATAGCTTTTTAGTAATGTGAAAAAAACATAAAATAAAGGCAATAAATTATGGGCTTGGTGATAATAAGTTAACTAAGCGGTAGCACTAACCTGACATCGAACGATAAAAGAAAGAGCAGGACACATCGTAATTAGGACCTTTTAGACCATAATGTTACTTAGAAGCCAGTGTAGAATTAGCCAATTGGAGGATGCGCCAACCAAGATCAATCTAACGAATCCGAACGCTCCCACCTTGAAAGAGAATTTGTTAACAAATATAAACGATCAAAAATAGTAAGTATAAAATATGCATATAGACAAACAGTATTCCTAAAAGTTCTACTATTACATCGAATTACTTTTTGTTAATACTACTTAATTAAAGAAATTAGATGAAAATGGTCTTTGAAAGTTGTAATCATATTATATAACGATGATATGTTAACTTAATATTTGTTATTTCGATCAAAAAAAAAGAGTTCATACATAATCATTATCTAGTTCCTTTCAGTGTTTCAAATTAATGTAGCTCAGCAATTAAAGTGGCACGAATTCGAATGTTTATTTAACTTGAGCTTAAAGGTTAAATCAAATTGAAGATATATTCATCTACATAATGAATTTATTAAAAGTTGTAACTAAAGGCTTATTTATTGATTTTGAAAGGATATGGAAACATATAGCATATTAGGAAACATTACACGTGTCTTACATTTCTAAATTAAACATTTATTTTAAGCCATCTTGCACATCTGCTCGACAGTAATATGTTTGTATATAAATTTTTTTATTTGTTAGTAATTGTCATGCGTTGTTAATTATTCAGGACTTCCATTGGTTTTTCTTTATTAATAGATGAGTTTTGTGTCGAAGAAACCATCCATCTCCGTAAAAATTACTCATGAATCTTCAACAAGAAGTCCAAAATCTAATAATATTGGACATGATTTTACTTCTCAATCTCTCAGAATCTATGATGAGTTTGGTAACGACCTCACTCCCCTACCATTGATAGTTGAGGATAAGCGGACCCTGCATCTTGATAAAGAGAACGTATGCGCTATTATTTCCTTAGTGATTAGTTTCTTTACTATAGTGTTTAGACCCTTCTGCTGTCCAACCCTCATTAATCCAATTCTTTGGTCATTCATTCTCAGCCTCAATCCAAAGCAGCTTAAATCTACTCAGTGATACCGCTTCGGAAAATTCAGAGTATATTGCTAAAAATGATAGTGATCCTGAAGGCAGTATGGTCATTTTTTTTAATTTTTATTTCCTGTTTAGTTAAGGATACTGAAGATGAACTTTATGTGGCGGAATCAATTGGTCTAAATCAAGAAATTTATGTTACCGTTGGAGAGACTGAAACCTATTGGATTTTTGATCAGCAGCCTTATGTCATGTCCACAGAAGATAATCTGGCAAATGTTCAAGTAGAACGCAATGAGGCTTATAATAAAGTAGGTGGCAGTCCACAGCTCTTTCTTAAAATTGAATTGTGCATAGCTATTCTTTTTGTCCATATTATAATACATGAATTTTGATGATTATTTTATAAGAAAATTAGTAAGATCTAATGCTAAACAGAATATTTCATTCCAATAAATATATCTGCCAATCAATCGTTAATTCTGTGGGACACTCCATCAATGACCAAATAGAAATCCTGCTATAGAATATTACTCAGAAATATTTGGCTATTAATTTTCACACAAATCATGCTAGAGTTATCTAATAACTTATCGCTTTGCCAAACGACCACAATTCGCTATCCTTATCTGGTGAATAATCGTTTCTGTAATACGTCTCTTTCTTCTGGAGACTCAGTAATTAGGAGAATCTATCCAAAAGGTTCCTGGCTTAATAGCGTAGCAATCCGCTACAATTTGGTGACCCTCACGTGATGTTTTCCTAAACAAAACGGTCGGTGATCATCTTCGTTGTGGAACGAATGCTTGGATGCGATAAACCGTGAAAATGATCAGAAATCTTCCGGCGGTAGGCTTGCGGACGAATGGTCTCGGCTTGCCGGTTGATACGTCACAGTGGATCTCAGTATCTGAGTCTGGTAGGGGTAAGCGTTCGAAACGTAACGAGGGGTTGGATGTGATTTCCTTGAAATCGAGATCTGTTCTTTGTTCGAACGCCAGGGCTTGTAGATCAATGGAGGGAACAACGATTTGGTTTAACTCCATACGAGACATCGCATCGGCGCCGTCGATATGGCGAATGCCATTAGTGAATTGCAATATGAAGTCTAAATGTCGAGCCTCTCTTGGAGAATGACGGTCTGCAGTAGCTCCCATAGCATAGATCAATGGCTTATGGTCAGTGAAAATGGTGAAAGTCGTCCCTCCAATATATGACGGAAGTGCTTGACTGCTAAGTAAATAGCTAGAAGTTCCCTGCCGAATGTGCTATAGCGTGTTTCCGTTGTGGTGAGCTTCTTCGAGAAGAAGGACAGGGGTTGCATTTCACCTCGGACAAACTGCTGCAAAACTGCTCCGACTGCTACATTGGATGCGTCTGTCTTAAGAACAAGGCGTATCCCGCTAGAAGTATTGAGATGGTGTAAAGTGGTAGCCTTTGCCAGCTCTTGGTTGACCAGAAGGAAAGCTGATTCTGCTTCCGGTGTCGTTTTGAAATGCTTCGGATTACCCTTGAGCAAATCTGTTAGAGGCTGAAGGACTTGTGCGCACCGAGGAATGAATCTTCCATAATAGTTTACAACGCCGAGGAAACGACGAAGGCTCTTCACGGATTGTGGGAGGGGGTAATCCATGATGGCTTGAGTCTTCTCAGAGAGAGGTGTGATACCACGACTGTCGATGTGGTGACCAAGGAAATCGATCGCGGCCAGACCATATTTACACTTTTCGGGGTTAACCGTGATTCCGTATTGTTGAAGACGTTCAAACACCTGTCGCAGGTGTTGTTTGTGCTCGTCCGGGTTGGAGCTGGCGATGAGCACATCGTCGATATAGGTAAAGACGAAATCTAACCCTCGAAAAACCTGATCCATGAAACGTTGGAATGATTGCGCCGCGTTGCGGAGGCCAAAAGGCATGCGCAGGTACTCAAAAAACCGAATGGTGTTATTACCCCAGTCTTTGCAATGTCTTCGGCCGCCATCAGGTAAGCCTTAACGAGGTCAAGCTTGGAAAAAATGGTTTTTCCGTGCAACTGCAACATTCAACAGGACATTCGTCAGTGGACCAAATACTGCCTCACTCGCTCAGCCGGCAAGGTCCACAAGCATGCACGATGTCCGCAATCCTACTGCCTCCAACTCCAACAATCCGGTCTCAGCAGTTCCAACACCTATCCCACCTCTACCCAAAACCCTATTACACTCGGTACGACCGAAAAGTTCCTACAAACGCTCTATTGGGGGAGTATTGTGGGACACTCCATCAATGACCAAATAGAAATCCTGCTATAGAATATTACTCAGAAATATTTGGCTATTAATGCTCACACGAATCATGCTAGAGTTATCTGATAACTAATCGCTTTGCCAAACGACCACAATTCGCTATCCTTATCTGGTAAATAAACGTTTCTGTAATACGTCTCTTTCTTCTGGAGACTCAGTAATTAGGAGAATCTATCAAAAAGGTTCCTGGCTTAATAGCGTAGCAATCCGCTACATTTCTGCTTCCAGAAGTCTCTTATTACTTCTTCGGTAGTTGGTCATCCTTGACAAAGATGAGTTTGAAATTTGTTTTGCTTATTTGGTAAAAGTGTACAAGATACATCCATCCTATATAATTTATTATGTCATAGATAACTTTAAGCACATGATTAATGAAATGAATAAAATCACAGGAGAATCGAAGTGGATTATTTAGTAAAAATGATTACGTGCTATTGGCAGGATCCTATAATTATTTGTCAGTATACCGAGTGATCTATGTATAATTAAACTTAGAGTTCTAATTAAAGGCACTATTGGTGATAGCTTGAAAACAAACGCGGGTAGAAGAAATCACTTGTCGGCTTTTGGTTCTTGTAAACTTCATTTCGGCTAATTTGTTGGAACACTGAGTTGAAACTTGGTTTTCTAGTTAAATTTGTGAGTGGTGTAAGTAGATATTGGGTCTTTAAGTTTGTATTCAGTCATAGTGTTTTGGTCACAAATTTTGCTCAAAGTCGTCATCTAAATGAAAAAAATTTGAATATATTTAAAAGACCAAGTCGTGATGTCTTTGTTCTCAAGGTGCAGTCTGCTGGTAAGAACCATTCATTTGCATTCATCGTCTCAATTTCAACACTAACTTTTCAAGCACATCGGAGTAACGGTTTGTTCCATGACTGTGTTGGGTCTATGGAGTTTAGGCAACATAAGGCGGAAATTGCCTGTGTCCAGATAAGCCTCCAGTAGATTTTTGTTTTGTCTGGAGATCAGGTTGAATTTTTAGAAGAATTTAGTGGAACATTTAGTAGAGGATATGTCAGAAACAACAGACGGCATTTCAGACTCAATTCTCTAGACAGAACCTTTATTTCTGCAAAGAATTTCTTCAATTTTTGCATTGAATTAAACAATCCTATTTTTCGTTGAACAACCAAGGACATTTTGTTGTAAATCATCTTGGGAGGTAACTAATGTACTCACCACTTGTCATAACCTTACTGGGATTTATAATCTTGAATAGTGTATATGTTCGAACAGCCAGAAAATGTTTAATGAAATAAAATTTTGACATAATGTAAAGCTCTCAGTATTACATTTACGTAGGAATATGGAAAATTCAGTATGAAGAAATACTAATTGAAAGATAAGAACTCCACCACATTATTTACACTTCAGACATCTGTTAAAGATTGCTTTTTTCCAAACGATTGGAGATGATGGATATGACTTTCACGAATGAAAATTGGAAATTAACTGTAGTTTCACTGTCACCCACTTTGCTAACCGATATGCCTATTAGGAATCAGGAGGAAGTTCATAGTAAAGCAATAATAATAATGACCCTTCCATAGTTCATATATTATCATTGGACATCTTTGACAAGTAAACCAAGAAGTAACTTTGGTTGAAGGAAATTGATAATTATCTTACTCTCTGAGGATTGGGTCATACACAGAACATAATGCTAGGGGTGGGAAAGTGAATTTGCTTACCTAGAAACTTTGGATAATTTTCGTGGCCACTTTAAGTTTCTCAAATAAATATCGCCCATTAGCCATGAATTCGAATATATTTTTAGTAATTAGCCTCATCGTCATAGTTAATTTTCCTATTGTTTTTCGATTTTAGTTATGCGCGTCCAGGGTGGGGAACGATCGATACGTAGAATGTGGGATGAATACAATGCCAATCCCAACCATCATTAAGACTATACAAACTCAAAACATTGAATATGCGGATAAAGCAGTTACAGCCACAGTTTATGATATATGGGATACGGATCAAATGTCACTTGTCATAGGTAAGTCCCCCTTCACGGTTACAAGTAATAACCACGTCTCAGCAAAAGCTGACCTCCGAAAATTGTATGGACGGAAAAATGTTCGCAACAATAGAATTCGATAAGGTATGAAACGGTTTTACCGTAAAAAATAAGTTTATAGTGATGTAAGGTCACCGCAAACTTTCCTTTATTTGAAAAAAGAGCATTGTTCAAGAGAAGAAGTGTCCACTTTAAAATTTCCATATACATCATGTGGACCCCACGTTCGTATATGAGATTATGCTCACTATGTTCAGTTTCCTCGCTTTTATAATCTAGTTTAGATCAATTGGGATCTTTCATAGCGCGACGTTTTATGGTTAAATGGAGGAGAACTCGAATAACTATCTGCAAATAAAAATCGAAGCACTATAATTTGTCAGAACACAAAATGTTTTACACTCTTTCTCTGTCCCTTCAGATCAGAAAAGTACTGTCGATATGGCCTTTAAATCCGAGCCAACAGAACGCGACTTATCAGCCATTCCAACAGCTATCCCCCGAAGTTTCATAGAGAGAAACAATCTTCGCCAGCTCGTCAACGATGTGGAAGATGCGGCTAAAACTTCTTCAAAAACAGCCTTACCTGAAAATGCCGTACAAACGGGTTTATATGACATGAGCTCCAAAAGCAGTAATTACTTTCAAAGGACTAGAATCTTTTCTATTGCCAAATTTTGTTTAGTACTTTTTATTTTATTAATCTAGTAAGCAGTATGGATAGCACCATTACGACAATCAATCCATTTGAAAGCAATGTAGGTTTCTGACTTTATGGTTTTTACATTGTTCCATATTCAGAACCCTATTCTTCTAAAACTGTTGAGAGATATGGAGAAAGCACTCAATTTGAACTTCTATTTTGATAAATACCTGCTCTATCGCAGATTGCTACTGAAAAAAGGTAAGTAGAATGAATTAAGTTTGGTTAACTAATTTTGTAGACTTTCCCGAGTCTAGAGGCATAATTGAACGCACAGAATCCGGTGGAACAGCAGTGCTTTCTGGGTCCGCCGTGCATTCCACTGCTCGGAGTAATATATTTACAGAAACTGGTTTCTCCTCACATCAATCGATCTTTGTAGGTCCGAGTGTACCAATCCACGCAATGGGGACTGAAGGTCCCGGGAGCTTGTATATAAAATCGGCTCACAAATTCTACACTCCTCCAAGCATATCTCTTTTGTGGAAATTTGCATGCAATCTCACAAAGGTAAAATTGCTTTCACCCTGTTTCATTCTTTCCCAGGGAAGAAATGTTTCCTCCATTGCGTTTAATGCAAAGAACAAAGATATTATCGCTGTGGGTTATGGGGCTTTTGAATTCGATAACCAGCAAGTTGGACTTGTGTGCTGTTGGAACATAAAGAAAATCAACTATCCTGAAAGGGTCTACCAATTACCTTGCGGTGTCACTGCTGTTTCTTGGTCTTGCAAGAACGTAAATCTTCTTGCTGTAGGTTAGATTATATCTCATTTCATAATGAATTCAAGTACAATAAAATTTTAGTTCCTTTTACTATTTAGGTGGGAATGTTTGATGGCGTTATCATGATCTTTGATGCACGCAAGGAGAGCAATGTTCCTCTTCTTGATACTACGTAAATTATTTGAATACACTACTAAGTATTGCTAGTAGCCCTTGTTTTATCATGAAATTTACGTCTTTAGTCATGCTAACGGTCGCCACTACGGTCCGGTGACTAAGCTGGACTGGATTTCGCGGGAAACCGGTCGTACAGCTGGGAATACAGAGAGTCTGATTTCACTTGCCATGGACGGCAGAGTGACTGAGTGGTTTACCTTGAAAAGTCCAGACTGTACTGGTAACTGCACTTCACTTTATCACCAACATCACTATTAACTATCACTTTCAAATTCTTTTTGAGTAATGACACCTCATATCGCCTGAAAGGTACGCGTCATGTTTTACTATCAAAAGGCTATTACTATTCATTATTTATACTATTTTCAAATGTGAGAAGTATACGGCCATGGTCTGCGGCCCATAGAAGTTTCATTAAATTGAATATAGTTGGGCTAATGTTTGTGCTCTCCTTATCTAAGCCGCTTTTACATTCTTTAAAGAGCATCTACAGTAAAAATTATCCTTAACTCTAATATAGATCTGATGATTCTCAAGAGACCAAAGTTACAAGGCTCAATCAATATTGTGAAGAAGAAAAATGCCGAGGCTCTTATTGTTAGACACGCAATAGGAACTACGCTTTGTTTTAATGATGTTGACAAGAATTTGTAAGTCTACTGATTTTATAGGACTATTTTCATTCTCACTTCTGTTATCGATTGTCGTGGTTGTTGAAAACAAAATGATTTCAGTTCAGGTTGTCATACTTTTAAGTTCACGCGAATTTTATTGGTTCTACTAACTTATAAGATAACTATTTTTGACAATGCATGCTTTCGTTTCCTCCATAATACACCACCGCTTTCTTTGAACGTTCTACTTCTGGCTTCTCTACCCTATTTTTACAGTGAAGACTAGTGAATACAAATGGTGGAATGCTACAGATTGGTGAGCATGCAGCTGAAATATTTAATTTCTCCATAAAATTATACCAATGAACCTAAAATAGCAGACAAACGTAAATTGGTTTCTAATCAAAGAAGTGTTCATGCGGTTGCTCACATTCTATCACCAAGTTTTACTTCGATCTCAAAGATAGCTTTTTCATTACAATAAAACCTAAATACTAACTAGATTACTTGCCATGATCTACATGTATTTGCCACCATAAATTTGCCCCTCTCGCTTCAACATTGACTAAAGTGAAGTCTGGCTTTCCTTTTACTCAAATCCCATTTGATCATGCATTTGTCTTTATCGTATTCTCCAAAAGTGAACAATGTAATAACTTCAATAAAAAGTTTGAAGGGTTTGAAGAAAGTAGTTTAGAAAAAAAATTGATCCCCAATTCTTCCTCTAGGCTTGGTCCATAAATGTAAATGCTTATCTTATATTGAACTAAATTGTGTTCACTGCGATTTATTAACTGAAATGGACTAGATTCCAGTATGCGTCCAGCAAATATTTAAGTTGATTTTTATCACTTCCTCCGTGGACTACCTCTGACGAAGAAACGCCCTAAAACCCCATTAATCTCCTTATAACTGGATTTCTTGTTACCAGTACTCGAGTCTACTTGTTAACACATTTCATCTCTACTTTCTACACACACACCCCACGCCCCCACCCCTCACCCCTTTCTAGAGAAGTATACAATACAGACGATGCTCTCAGGTGTTCAGTCCATTTGTCATCATGCTGCATAATTTGTGCATTTAATTAGAATTCTTAGTCATTGCCTCCATCATCCTACTATCGACGTGTTAGTCGGTCCTTAAATGCTTTTTGCTATTTGCGTATATTGCAATCGTTTTTAACATTTCTCTCTCTCTATTTATGAATACCTGTAACATCTTTTGTGTAGATAAGTTGAACAATAAAGACTTTGTCACGATGTAATAATATGTTAATACTTTTGTTCCTGTTGTAGGTACTTGGTGGGCATCGAAAGAGGTCAGATTCACAAGTGTTCGTGTTCATACAGTGAACAATATCTCTTTAGTTACAACGGACACACAGTAAGTAAATTGTGATACTACTTGGAAACTTAGGAGAATAATTGCGATTAGGTGGAAAATCAGTTGTTTACTCTCTTGATGTATTCTGACACAGTATTAGAATGCGTGCGTCCACTTGATAAGTGGATCGCAGGTGCTAACCGTGACAGGTACTACAAAAAACACCCTTCCCTCCTCACGTTCCCCTTACCAGTTTTTGGTTTGGGAACCCATGAATTTAGCAGGTGGTTTTTGAACAAGTTGATAAATGTTAAACAACCGCTTTCCCTTTCTCGACTTACTGGTGTCGTTTAAAGCGGTCGTTATTTGAACATTGATCTGGTTAACTCAATCCGGAAAAGGATTAAAATTTTCATGGCCCTTAGTGGTTAAATTGTGAGGCAAATAATGATAATGCTGTAAAGCCTAAATTGGTACAATTGGATCAATCCACTCCGAATAATTACATGTTACCCGGATTAACAGCGTTATCGATTTTCCGATCCTATGGAAGAGACTAGAGATGGAAGTACCATTAATTCTATTGGATTATTAAACAGGGTGATTGAAAATCAGCTCCCTATTTGATGTCCAGTCTCCGGAATGTTTAAAAGAGTGTCAGATAGACAAACTACAGTGAAATTCAGAATAGCATACTTAGGTCAGTGAAAATCGAATGGCAGGCATTTTGATAGTTATTATTAGCCATTTAGTTGACATCCAACTTCATAGAGAGGAAGAACACACAAATTCACTTAAAATTGAGGGGAGAGAGGGGGGGGGACAGAAAAGCGATTCACAGATGTAAGAGACAGACAGACACAAAGGTAGAGAGAAAGGTAAGGTGAGTATTGTAGGAAGTGGTGGAATATGACATACAGTGGGGTCATGGCAGTTTGAAGTCAGACCAACTGGGTGATGGCAGTTTGAAGTGAGAAGTCAACTGCCAGTTAATAGACTTTTGCCGTATGAGAATACGTTGCCCAGGGGCTTTATAGACATTTTGCCGTATGGAGGTGTGTCTATCGCACACCCCGGTTAGAAAATTAAAAGCAGATGTATAAGTCTAGTTAGTATTATGCATTTCCTTTTAATTTAAAAAATATAAGCATAAATAATCATATTAATTGTGACTTTTTCCAAGGTCGGAATGTCAAATACACCCATTACAACTCTCAATTAGTAGCAACTTTCACTTTGCCGTGAATACTTCACCCTGTCTCACAATAAATAATGTTACAGTCTTGGCCTCGCTTGATCTGTAATTTTATGCAATCACAAAATTTGTATACAATTTTTCGCATTCAGTGGCCATTACAATGGCAAAAAATGTTTTATTGTGGAATAATATCTGAGCAATAGGTTGGTAAAATAATGGAATAGTTAGAAAACTGAGCCGCCAGTATTCCAAAATGTCTTGCTTTACTTTGTCTTTCAAATTCGAGCTCTACTCCTATTGGGGCACATTTCAATTCCTCCCATCTTCACTTTTCAAATATCATTTAGTAGGGTGTGTGTATCTTATATTTTCCTGGGCTATGTCATACCAGAACATTTTCTGCATATCGCATTTGGTATGCATTTATCTACGGAAACATTCATTCAATTAAGATGCCACTAAAACAATAATGATGTTGATTGAAACAACGAGTAGATTTCTTGTTATTCAATTTTATATCCACTACTGACTTTGAGGTAATTTCGGCATTGACTAAATACTTAGTTAATTAAATCAGATTAACATGTGATTATTGTGTATTTAGTTTAAAAATACCCCAACCATGAAGAAATTTTAAATTAAATCTATTAGCACGCTATCAGCACACCAGGTTGGCATTAGTCCCCTATGGTTTTATTTGATCATAAATCCCAGATGTGTGTGTGTGTGTATGTGTGCAAGTTTTATGGGAACTAATATTCATGACCTTACATGCTCCCAACACGGTAATAATTATACACCGCATATAACTGCTAGACTTGAAATGACCGTCACATATCCGACAAATTATGTCCGATGCCTTCATGCCACTTTCGACCGTCTACATCTCTCAACCCCCCCCCCCCCCCCTCCTCCTCGCTTTAACAAGTTCACGCATAAAATTTCAGTCAGTTGAGCTCTAGATAAATAGTTATGCTAAATAAATCATTCCTATCCTCAATTCATGTTGGGGATTTATAAGCCAAAAATTATTTATGGGAATGGAATAAATTAAAGAGAATTATGCAGGCGATTGAGGTGGTGCTGCATCTTTAAACAAAAATAAAGGCAGCAATTCAGTTTTAAAGGCGAAAAAATGGTCAAAGTAGTAAGAAAATTCATTATTATTATTATTGTTTTTATTTCCTTTGTAGTCATCGGTATATTCATTAAGGTACTCGCCTTTTATACCGGAGGTTTTTCTCTCCTGTTCGGCTGATTGGACTATCCGTTTATGGCATGAAGAACGTGCGGAAAGTTGTCATACTATGGCCACTCATTCTGTAAGTTGGAATTTTCTCCCTATAGAACTAAACTAACCGCATTCCCTCGGCAATGGCAAATTGGCACGTCCAGTAATCAGATCAGTCGGCGTCGATGTTATTCTTACCTTTAAACAAGAGCTGGAACAGCCAAAGTTGTTTATACAGGTGCAGTGTTAACCGCAAATTAATTTCTGCGTATAGACTAGCTATAATGAAGATAAAGCAAATTAGGCAGGTCAGATAATAATAATTGCTGAATAAATTAATGAATATTTTGGCGTGCCCATGGTTTGAAAATTGACAACCTATATATATTATGGAAATGATATTTTCCTCATTTAATATTTTGCTGTCAACAACTTAATTTTTGCGACCATTTTTCGTAATAGGTATAAAGTTGATAGGCCGGGCGAATTTTGATATATATATTAGTTAATGCATTTATTTATTTCAAATGGCAATCGTTTTGATAGTAATCGTTAGCCTTTTAGTTGACTTCGAGCTACACAAAGAAGAGGCTCATCAAAATAAGAAGAAATCAAGTTTGGGGGGGGGGTGGCAGAAGATTGTTTCACAGCTGTAAAAGAGACAGACAGACACAAAGGCAGGGAAAAGGTAAGGTGAGTGCTGTGGAAGTGGCCGAATATGACATACAGTTGGGTCATGGTAGTCTGAAGTGAGAAGTCAAATGTCGGATTTTAGACTTTTTCCCCTTAGGAGTATACGTTGTCCAGGAGACAAGTCTATCGTACACTCCAGTTATTGTATACATATGAGTATATTTCGATATTGAAAGACAGTATTGCAAATCTGGTTATTTAAAGCGCCTTTGTATATTTCAGTCGTCCGTGAACGATGTGGCTTGGTCCCCCAACAATGGAGCCGTGTTTGTGTGCACCAATGAAGGAAATATAGAGATCTGGGATTTAGAACGTTCATTGTGAGTCATTTTCTCGCCAAAGTTTTGACTTATTGTAAACAACCTATGCAAATTCCATAGTCCTTAACACACTTAAATGCGCTGTTGAACAGGTATAAAGAATTGAACTCAGAGACCTTGTCACGTGTATTGGCTCCTACTATGATCATGAAAACATTCCCTAAGCTCATTCGTAATGACCCTTCTACTAAATCTCACTGATTCAGTAGTCCTCGATGTACTTCCACCTTCAATCGAGAAGAGCCGTCGTAAACGTGATTTTTCTATCATATGGGCTCGGTGTCTAATGGCGTAGGGAAACTTATGTGAAATTAGATATCCATATTCACCTCATTGATCACCCCGAACACCTGTTTGACATCATCTGCGTGCAGTTGCCCCCAGCCAACTATTAATGTATGCGTGGCCTAAAGTTTTCCCTATTTCAACACTTGGACGTTTAGGCCATAAGTTTACTCTATCAGATGTTTCATAAATTGGGGTGTGCGATATCGGTATTTGCCTGTATCTTATGTATAAAGTTATTCCAGATATACTTACCTTTAATAAGGTTGCAATGAAGCGTCCAGCTGTTTCTCTGCTCGCCAAGGTAAATGCTTGTAGAGTTTTTTTGCCCATGACCTCCTATTTTTTAAGCTGTTCCATCACTGGCACACAAATGCCTCAATGTAACCACAGCCCGACTTGCGATTGCCCAATCGTTGTGCGACTTGAAAGATAAAATTCCATCTGATTTAACGGGAAGCGTCATGCTTTCTATTTCTTTGTGTTCAACCTCTATGCAGTCAGCTTTGTTATCTTATTTGTAGCAGAAACTATGATCTTGGTCTATGAGATCATCCTAGGTGTCACTGGATTCCTTTGAATCTGCAAGGGGAAAGTTTAGAGTTTGAACCAAGTTCGTCAAGATATCTCCCTCATGATTGCAGGACAGAAAGTAGTAATGTCTTGATAGATTAAATTGGGGAAAATCAGGGAGGATCGATATCAGAAATAGTCTTCACTAATGTGGTGTGACGGTTAACAGTCTAACGTTGAGAGTTGTACGGGGGCTATATTCGATTGAAAGGGACCATTCAGGTTAAGAATGCAGTTATGAAATGAAAATCTGACAACTCGTATCCAAGTCTCTATACACCTTTCTTCTAACTCTCGGTTTTGGCATTTTGTTTCAAAAATGCTCTAATATACTTTTTCTTCTCTTTATGTTCGTTGTTGAAATTCTACCATTTTACTCTTTTCAATGCGGATATGACATCTGTTCAACTTAGATACCTGGTATTTATTTTAGATAGATAAATTATTTGCGCTTAATATATCGTATAATAATAATGGCTTCCAATAAGCTGTCTCCGAGGCATCACAATATTTGCTGATGCTTTGAAGTTGCATTCTGGAAAGTGTCTTCATTCGAAACTTTATGAAACTAATTTATTAATTGGCTAATTATTATTCATATGAGCGGGAATAAGCATGTTCATCAACTCTATCCCTGTAAAGAGTGCATTTATAATTGTCGCCTCGATTTTAGTTTAAATCATTGCCATAGCAACACCACGCCATGCATCTAATAGCCCCATAATCCTCCATTAAATCCTTCATTAATTATCCTCAAAACTCTTTAAATGCCATTTAGAACACCCTTAACCCAGTCCCAGGATTAACCGGGACTCTCTAAGCCGCACCATAACGTAGTTGCGAGATCTTGTTTACAAGATGCTGGTCTCTAATCTCACCTTCCCCTCCACCTTTGCCCTAACACCTGTCCAGTTGCTAGGTCGCACTTCTCTCCTCCCCTGTCAAGCACGTGCATGATGTCTGAAGAGGAAGTTTGTTTATTCTCCCACCTTCACTTTGTGCGCGCCCCATTCAAACTTGCGTGCGCACGCACGCGATGAGAATGACCGAGTCTTGAATTCAGGCCTTGCGCCGGATACTTTTTGACAATATTTCCCCTCTACCTTAGTCTTCCAAGAGGGCCAGAGCCCCCATCAATGACACTTTGGTGAGATATGAGCCTGAATCTATATTAACACCTGCAAATCAGAGATGTTTTATGGAATATAACCCACTTAGAGATACCCCAATTACAGAATACACAGCTAACATCAATCCCCCCCCCCATTATGCGTTCAATGTGTGTTTCCCAATCTCCCTTTTCATTATAAAAGGATTTTTTTGAAAAACTAAAAAGTTGTGACAGCCCTAAAATAAACTTATTCACTTACTGTCTCTCGATACATTTCTATCCTATATAAATTGTTTTTCGTCGCTTTATGAGCGTGTTGGAAATAAATCATTAATATTTTTGGTAGATATTTGAATCCAATTTGGTTGTAAGATCTGTCCTTCAGTGATGACGATAAGCTTAAAAAAAATAAAAGAAAAAATTTATATTTCAAATGGCAGGCGTTATGATAGCTATCATTAGCCA